CTCTCTCTCTCTCTCTCTCTCTCTCTCTCTCTCTCTCTCTCTCTCTCACACACACACACACACACACATGAGAGGGAGAGAGACAGAGACAGGGAGACAGAGACAGAGAGAGGCAGACAGAGACAGAGAAAGACCCCCTATCAGTCCGCCAGCTACCCTCTGACTTGGCTATAGCCTCCCTCTCAAGGGGAGGTGTACACACACAAATACTTCTTTCCAATGCAGTACTGACCCCCGATGACCACATGTTCTTTTCTGACCAAGACAGTCCTGCCTTACTCTTGCTGTTTCAGTCTCCCTGACTGGTAACCCCCATTCCTTCCTCATCCTATTTGGGGTGATAAATCACAGAGGCACCATACTCAAATCCCACTCTATCCAAGCTGCCAGTGGAGGCTGTTAGTTCTGTTACAGTCAGCTGTAAAATCCCTTTGAAGGAGGAGGCAGGGAGCCTGAGTTATACATGCAAACCCAGCTCTCACCCCAACACTAGAAAGACGAGCCATGTCCAGTCCCTAGCTGATGGAAACACTCCCGACGTCTGCACAGGAACCTGCCTAGCTTGTCTTCTTTGCTGAACATGTTCTTTACCACAGAACCGCACCCCAACCCTCATTGGGCTTTCTGAGTGGTCTTAATGACCAAATCCGCAGGCTACGTGAGTGGCTTGACAAGACACACGTTCACTCTGTTAAGTCGGGTGTTGCAACTGTCGTCGTCCAAATCTCAAGATGTCTGTCCTCCACTAGGGACCTACTAAAATGACAGAAGAGAGTTCTGAACAAACGTAAAACCTCCCTTCTTAGGCACCGACAAGATGATCTGGTGCAGACTACAGCTCCAAAGAGCGCATCCAAGGGTCTACATAAACACACTTCCCATCACCTGTGCAAGGAAACCCAATGCTTATTTACATTTGCTTCCAGATAGAAAGTGGAACAGATGTCGTGGGGGCCTTTTGAAGAATCAAAATGGCTTATATAAATCCTTCACATTAAAATACCCTGTGCCATCACCAACTTTCTGTTTCATTCTATTGCCAGCCGAAAATATCGATGGGGCTTTGTCTCGGGTTTATGTAAAGCAAAGGCTGCCGGCTGCTCCTTCCACTCTTAGGTGTTTTAAGTAAGAAGGCTGCTTTTTCTGCTGCAAGCATCTTCGTAAGGTCTAGACAAAGGGTTTTCTGAGGAACTGGGGTTTGGTGAATAGAAAGGATTCCTTTAGTGAGCCATTTAGACGTTTTAAAAATCCTTTCAGAAAATGCCAGGCTTGCTCAGAATCGCTTCATCAAATCTGAACCATTCCTGAATGGGAGGCCTGCCGCTCTAGCTGTGTTTACCTGGGGTTTCTTTTCATTTATTTAAATTCTGCAGATAGTTTAAATACCAGAATCCAACTGCACCTAGCCTGTGTGTTGCTAAAACTGTGTGAAAGGCTTAGTGAGCATCCTTCAGGCTCCTGTCAGGTGCAGGGCCCTGTGATGGCTCAGCTAATGCATGGGGTGAAGTGTCATTTCAAAGGGATTCACAGGAGCGAACGGCCTTTGAAATCTCTCCCCAAACCGCAGGATCTTAACAGGGGAGAGAAAGAGCAGGGCATGAGAAGAATGAAAGGAACGCCAGGCACAAGGACCAGCTGGCAAGAGGCTCAGGAGATGGGGCAGGAGATACACCAGGTGCATCCACTTGGTGACAGGGATAAAAAGCTACAGGGAGTACCCAAGTGTCGGGGGTAGGGTGGGCAGGGCAAGCGAGTGGTACTGACAGAGCCTCCGATGGTTGATGGTAGAGCTACACTGGGACCTGGGAAAGTCAGGAGCAGAAACCACGTCGGGAGATTTCACAATTGTTCAAATAAAACAGTAACAATACAGGTAGAGATGGGCTAGCAATGAGAAGAGGAAGAGGGGTTCCCGCAGGGCGGAGGGCAGGGATGAATCCCAGGGATTGTATATGCTAGTCAGTGTTTCCTTCTGCGTTACATGTGCAGCCCCAGGTTTCTAGGTCAGCTAGCTGGGTGACTGGGTGGCTGGCTGGCTGGGTGGGTGGCTGGCTGGCTGGGTGGCTGGCTGGCTGGGTGGCTGGGTGGTTGGGTGGCTGGCTGGCTGGCTGGGTGGGTGGCTGGGTGGGTGGCTGGCTGGCTGGCTGGGTGGGTGGGTGGCTGGGTGTGTGGCTGGGTGGCTGGGTGGCTGGGTAGCTGAGTGACTGGGTGGCTGGGACTGGCTGGCTGGCTGGCTGGGTGAGTGGCTGGGACTGGCTGGCTGGCTGGGTGGCTGGGACTGGCTGGCTGGCTGGCTGGCTGGCTGGCTGGGTGGTTGGGTGGCTGGCTGGCTGGCTGGCTGGGTGGGTGGCTGGGTGGCTGGGTAGCTGGGTGACTGGGTGGCTGGGACTGGCTGGCTGGCTGGGTGGCTGGGACTGGCTGGCTGGCTGGCTGGGTGGTTGGTTGGGTGGCTGGCAGGTTGGGGCCTTAAGCCTGGAAAGGGATGGCAAGGGTAAGCAGAGGCTTCCTGTGCGGCTGGATGGGAGTGTGACTGTGTTTGCTCCTCACATCTATCCTGTGCAGCAGCAGGGGAATGACCATGTCACAAGGTATGAACACATCCCTCCAACCTGCAAACACTCCTGATTGTGAGGGATCGTTTGTCGAGTGGATGCAGGAAGGAGGGGGTTTAGAGACCTCAGGTAAACCAACCTGACACAGGCCAGAGCCTGAGGAGGGTCTTGGAGAAGCTATCACAGGAGGAGGTGACAAGGGACACCCATAAAGATAGGAGAGGGCTGGAGCTAGAGACATCAAGCAAAAGGACAGTAAGAGAGTAACACATAGTCAGGGGGCTGGAGGGATGGCTCAGAGGTTAAGAGCACTGACTGTTCTTCCAGAGGTCCTGAGTTCAATTCCCAGCAACCACATGGTGGCTCACAATCATCTTTAATGAGATCTGGCACCTTCTTCTGGCATTTACATTTACATGCCAGCAGAACATTGTACACATAATAAATAAATAAATCTTAAAAAAAAAGACAATAGTCAGGATGAAAAACCTCGGAGTGGCAAAGCTTAGCAGTAAAAAAGCAGAGGTACTACCAAAATAGTAAGAGACAGAGGGCAGCAAAAGAAGCCAGGGCGAGGGTTCCTCAGTGAGTGCCAGTTCCATACTGTGCTAGGCGCTGATGGCGCAGGTCTGCTTTCGCTTGACAGCCACCTGGCAGGCAGAGTCATTGGATACAGCTAACTGGTTCCCCAAAGCATGCCACAAGCAAGCAGTGGGCAGAACACCTAAAACAGTCAGGTCCCACATGCTTGGCCTCAGTCTCACTGTGACAAAGAGACTAGAGATCACATCCATCCTGGGTTCACAGTGGGCCTAGAACCGAGTTCAATACGGGAAGGGTGCAGGTGAAGCACGAGGCTGGCAGAGCCTATGGTGGCTCTTTCACTTTGGGGCAAAAGGAGCATTCATACTCTGGGTTCTTGGCTCACACAAAAACCATTTAGAAAGGCAGAATTTTTTCATTAAAAGATCAGCTTTAGACTAGGACTTAAGGACTCTAACAAAATACAGTGAGCTTCTTTACATATCTGAAAATGCAAATTCTATGTTTAATATATGTGTAGAAGTATTCATGCATTAGAATTGTACACACTTACATATGTGTAGAAGTATTCATACATTAGAGTTGTATATACTTTACATATGTGTAGAAGTATTCATGCATTAGAGTTGTATATACTTTACATATGTGTAGAAGTATTCATGCATTAGAATTACACATACTTTTCATATATGTAGAAGCAGTCATGCATTAGAATTGCACATACTTTACATATGTGTAGAAGCAGTTGTGCATTAGAGCTGCACATACTTCACATATGTGTAGAAGTATTCATGCATTAGAATTGCACATACATTTTTGCATTCCTTGCCTTTGTCTTTCGGGAAATTTCCTCTCAAAACGGTATTTACTGCTGGATCTGGGGAAGCAAAAGAAAAACAGGTTATGAGAACATACAAGATAGCAGAAGAAATAAACACTAAGTGGTTTTTTTTTTCTTTCTCAGCCATGGGGCGCTTTCACCAGTGGAAGAGAATTCACGGTGTCCTTTATGGAGAAAGGAGCTTTCCTCCGGAGCTGCAGGAGCTGAGGGAAACATGCTCAGGCCTCCTGGGGGACACGGCTGGCTGTCATGTTTGCATGCCTCCGAGAGACCTAAGCTAGCAGGCTGCTCTCCGGGCGGCGTTTTCAGTCTAGCATTGTCCCTGCAACCAGCTGTGAGCTGTGCATGCCTGAATGTCAGGATAGGAAGCACTTTCCACCTCCTGTCCAGAACAGCACCCCGAAGAGGGAAAGTCGGTGGCTTTCTGAGTAGAGGGGACAGTCCGCAGCAGAAGGCCACCCAGAGTGACACTTTGGGATTTAAGGAGGATGCTGTGTTGATGTGCATTCAGCCTCGCTATTCGTAGAGGCATTTTATTTTTCTTCCACTGTTTTGACGCAGGATTTCACTATTTACTCCAGGCTCCACCTCCCAGCCGAGGCCCCCCTGCCTCAGTTTCCCGAGGGATGGGATTACTGACTTGCTCCATCACATCAGGCTAACATGGGCACTTCAGCTGAGATAGCTGAGAAATTTAAGAAGTGGCCAGGTATGATTCCATCACTAGTGAAGCTGAGGCAGGAGGATCACTGCAAGTTCAAGACCATCCTGGTCTATATAGTAAATTCTAGACCTTGGGCTACCTACTAAAAACCCATCTCCCACATGCCCCCTCAAAAAAACAAAAGAAGTTGGACAATTAAAGCTAAGCCCACCCATTGTTCCAACAGTGAACGAAAACGAGAACAATTTAATCACTGGTTGTTTGTGTGACCTAATGAGCTCCCTGTCACTGCTCTCCTCTGCAGTCCACCCCTCACCCCAGCAGGTGCTTTTGCCACCTTCTGGGTTCAGGCTGAGACAGGATAATCCCAGGAAAACTCGGGTTAAACCCTCCATACCAATGGCGCTAGAAGGTTTCTGGTGACAAAAGTGACCTTAAGCCAGGCGGTGGTGGCACACGTCTTTAATCCCAGCACTTACAAGGCAGAGGCAGGTGGATCTCTGTGAGTTCAAGGCCAGCCTGGTCTACAAAGCTACAGAGAAACCCTGTCTTGAAAAACCAAGGGCTGGAGAGGTGGCTCAGAGGTTAAGAGTGTTGCCTGCTCTTCCAAAGGTCCTAAGTTCAATTCCCAGCAACCACATGGTGGCTCACAGCCATCTGTAATGGGGTCTGGTGCCCTCTTCTGGTCTGCAAGCATACACAAGACAGAATATTGTATACATAATAAATAAATAAATATTTTTTAAAAAAGAAAAACCAAAAAAAAAGTGACCTTAAATAAACAGTTTTAGGCCTCCCATGGAGAACAGTTTTGTGATTGAAGCAAGCACTGGTGGATGATATGACAAGCCAGGGCTTCAAGACAAGTAAGAGTCTCCACCTCCGACCTGGAAGTTGACATTTGGTGGACCCAGCTGAACATAGTCAGGCTCAACACATGTCTATGGATGCTGTGTCCTGGAGCTGCAGGGGCAGAGGGAAGAGGACCCTTGGGTCAAACTCGCTTGAGCTGGCCACAGCTGAGCTCTTTGCTTTAACTTCATGGGCAGCTTCGGTTGGATGGACTAGTTCCCTAAGATCCTTCCAAGGGTAGGAGACAGACAAGACCCCAGCCTGAGATAGCTACTTGTACCACGGTTACTTGTACACTGGCCTACCTACCGTCCGGTGAGGTCTATCCTTAAATCCTGTTACCTTTCCAAATGAACTGGTTGTGACCATTGGGGAAATCTCCGTTTCCATCCAATATCAAGATTGTTTTTCCCCTCAGAGAGCACTTGCACTATTTCATGGAACTGTGAATAAACGTGGGGGATTGTCCTTTTGTATAGGTCACATATGCTCCAAAATACCACATGTTCATCTAGTATAGGCTGAAGTAGAAAGCACAGTTTTAAGAGGCAGTCCTGAGTTCAAGTCTCAGTTCCATCACTATCTGTGAGTGTGTATGCATGTACTGTGTGTGTACGTGTGTGTGTGTGTACATGTGTTTGTGAGCCTGGGTGGTCCTCAGGGCCTTGTCCACGCTAGGCAAGTGCCCTCCATTGAGTTACACCTCCATCACAGCCAGTTCTGCCTTTTTTTTCCCTTTTTTTTTATATATACAATATTCTGTGTGTGTGTATGTCTGCAGACCAAAAGAGGGCACCAGACCCCATTACAGATGGTTGTGAGCCACCATGTGGTTGCTGGAAATTGAACTCAGGACCTTTGGAAGAGCAGGCAATGCTCTTAACCTCTGAGCCATCTCTCCAGCCCCCCAGTTCTGCCTTTTTAACCCTCAAACATACATTGAATTCCTGCTATGTGAGGCTAGACAGGGAGAGGTGGTGAAGCTCGGTCTGGCTGTCAGGTCACAGCCCAGTGTATGCTCATTTCTGAGGGACACTCCTCAGTCATGTGGTTGGAGGTTAGTCTCTTGTCTTAGTCAGTGCTCTGTTGCTGTGAAGAGACACCATGACCACGGCAACTCTTATAACGGAAACCATTTAACTGGGACTAGCTTACAGTTCAAAGGCTTAGTTCCTTATCATCATGGTAGAACATGGGGCAGGCAGGCAGACCCGGTGCTGGAGAAGGAGCTGAGAATTCTATGTTCATTCCCAGGCAACAGAAATGAACTGTGTCACTGGGCATAGCTTGAACATAGGAGACTTAAACACCCACTCCCAGGGACACACTTCCTCAAACAAGACCACATCTGTTCCAACAAGGCCACACCTCTAATAGTGTCATTCCCACTGGGAGCCATTTTCTTTTGAACCAATATATCACTCCAGCCTTCTGACTTTGGCTAAGTGTTGTGAGGATTAAAGGGCTTGGTCATCCAGGCCAGAAGACATGGGTGGGTCACATTAGGTGCTGTTTCCCTGGGCTCATAGGGGACTCTTAGGAAATGTTTGTGGGATATACAGCGGGGATCCCCAAGGCCATCCTTTGAGAGCCCTAGGGACAGGAACTACAGTGGTGTCTGATTTACGCTGCTTTACACAGCACGCCTGCTGGGACCAAGGCCACTGGAAGACAAGGCAAGGGATTCCAGTGACCACAGCTTCCAACTCACTCACTCTCTCTCTCTGAAACCATTGCCAGCAGTTTGTACGTGAGAAGTTCAGAGACATACAAGAAGATTCATCCTTCTTTCTGGGCGTGAAATCACCTAATCCAAAGAAAATCATAGTGAAATGTGCCCGTTTAAGACAAAGTGGATCTTAGGACCTCCCAGGAGGCTGGAACCCCGACTATATACATATACATATACATATACATATATGCGACTATATACATATATATATATATGTATATATATATATATACACACGCACACACAGTAGCTAATTTTAAGGAATCCATATACATAAGCCGACTCTAGTTAAGTAAAGGATGTATGCGCACACTCGCCAGTCCTTCCTGCAATGTCTTATCCAACCATGTCTTCTGCATGAAAGAGACATTGCTGCTCGGATTCTGCAGCCCGAGGGCTTATTCCCTAAGCTCTGTGCAGAAAGAGGCCACACGGCTATTTCACAGGTCAGCACGCACGGCACTGACAGTGGATAAGCCATGCTAGACAGGGTATTAATAAATGGGAAGCTGCCATCTGGCAGCACAACCACGGTACCTTCGCTGCCATCGCTTTGGTAAGATTCGTGCAGGGTTTTGGATCTCTTCATGACAGGTTGTTCACAGGGAGGCGAGACCAACAATTGCACTAACTTTTTTTCGTATGCTTTTCTGGTGGAGGCTGAGAAACAACATGGAGAATTGAATTGTTCTGTGTTGTATACACAGGGTTCAAAAGTTACTTTCTAACCCAGGCCTTTCTTCTAGGACCTGACATTGGCTAATTATGGCTTTCAACAGTGAGGTGGACCCCACCGCTACTCAAGTCACTGTTCCCATTATACCGACAGGTGCTGGATACATCTTATACAGATACATCTTATACTGACACAGATTATCAGTAACCGGGTACTGGAGACATCTGAGAACAGGCAGGACATGGTTGTCCATGAGAACAGAAATAATGAAAATACGGGCTACATCCGAAAACCCAAGGTAACTAATACAATAATTGGATTTTCAGTGTTGAAACAAAACGAAATGACAATAACAACAACAAAACAAAACAAACAAAAATTTCCTCCCTGGCCTTGTAGTTCCCAGTCTGTAAGGACCTGGGGATGTCTGTTCCGGCTCCCCTCCATATGGCTTCCTGTTTTCCTCTTTGTATTTTTAGTGCCTTTTACTGCATATGCTCCTTCTTCTTCTTCTACTTTTCCGATTTAGACTGCGGATGTAGTTTGGAAGCATCTAACGAATGCCCCCCAACATGAACTGTGAACGTACGCAGTATGGGGCCCGCTGAAAACCCGAGCTTCTCCAGCCGCTTGTGCAGTTCACAGTCACTCAGACACTGCACATCCACCATGCTGATCGACGCTGGCCTCCTCTCTGACAGCGGACTCCTGGGAGCAGGGAAATATTACATTCATTAAGACAGTGTTACAAGTAAGTACTACAGCACAGGCGCTAAGGCACACATTGCCACTTCTGCTTGCTGCCTGAGAGTCCTGCTGGGATTGGTAGCCTTCAGGCAAAACTTGAGGTTTCTACTCTGCCTGAGGTTCTTAGGGATCAGTGATTGCTAATGTTTTTACTCAACTAATGTAAGGAAACTTACCTGGGTAAAATGAGCAAAATATTTTCATCCGGGAACTCCGCTCAGGACTCCAGTGCCCCGCCCCAGAAGATAAACCGTTAATTAAATAAGACTGAGGTGCGAGAGATTTGTTTTCAGTGAGTGGGAAAGTTATTTATCAGTGCCCTCCTTTTCCTGAGGCTACCAGGAGCTCAGGGCAGTCAAGGACTGCAAGCTGGCAGCAGTTGGTTTTCTCTCCTGCAGTTTAACACTAAGCACAATGAGACGTAGTTTTTAAAGGATTCACAATTTTCTACTTACATGTATTTTGTGCACAAGTGCAGATGCACCTGTGTAGATTGGTGGGTACCACAGCGCACGGATGGAGGTCAGAGAACAACTTATGAAATCGATTCTCTCCCTCCATCATGTGGGGCCATAGGCAAGGGCCATTATATTGTCAGCCTGACGGTGTTTTCAGTTTTAATTAGTCACCAGAAAACACTGTGGTTGATGGACTGGCATTTGGAAAAAGCCGACGCCTAATTCTCCATGCAGATTGAGTTGAACAGGTTTGTGAAGTCTTGATCTGTCTAAACCTATTCGACATCAAGTCAATTGGTTATATCCCCTTTACCTCTCGGTTCCCACTCCCCAAATGGACCCCATCACCCACTGAGTGAAGTGGAGAAGGTGGAGTCGCTCATCTAAGGAGCCTCCTCTCAGGCTTTGCCGTGTGGGACTCGTATATTGGCTCGTTTCTCACAGGTCTCAAGGATTTTAATATTTCCGGGAAAGCAATCTCAGCGCTCAGCACGGAAAGACAGTGTCCCACTTTGCCTTTATTGATGCTCAATCAATGTCCAATTAGGAAGCCCATCGTATACAAGCTAGAAAAAGCCAGGGGATTGTGACCCATGACAGAGTGCTCAGGGACGCTTGCTTGGGTAATTTTGTGATTCAAACTATGCTTCTTTCTGCAAACACAAGCTTGGTTAACATTAGTTTCTGTCTTCTCTGTGCATTTGGGAAGCTGTGTCCAGAAATCAGTCTAATGCTCGAAAGGAAAAGGGCACTGTGGCTCAGCAGCTCAGATTTTTATTTATTTTTTTTATTATTTATTTATTTATTTGGTACTGGAGGCACACTTAAGCGATCCGGTGACATTTGTTCCAGAGAACAGCTGTCTGTTGTTTCCCTGGCTTCCCAAAAATAACCTTCCAAAGAGCTCTCATCAATTTCAAGTGACATTAAACAATTGCCTAGAGGGGACACACATATGGAAGACAAACATGCAAATGCAATCCAACTGGATGATGAATCCACTCACCCCTTCACATGGTTGTGGGAAGGTCTATGCAGTCAGGCAGTGAGTGGGTTACCTAAGCTGTGTGAGTCTCACCCAAGGGTTGCCAGGAACAACTGTTCCTTCCTTGCCTGTTAGATATGAGGGTAATCACAATACTGACAGTGTGACATCAGCGACCTCCCTCCGGCCCAGCAACACTGATGGGGAAATCAGATGACGGACTTACAGCTGAGTTCAAACAGAGGGAGGCACTGGCTAGCTTCAGAGGTGGTGGTGGAAGATCTGAAGAGGCTACAAGTCACTATGGTGCACAGGAGGGAAGGAGCTGCACATGACTAAATGGTGCCAAGAAACGTGGAGGAGAAACGAGAAGCCAAGCAAATGCCAGCATCCGGGCCACCATCAAAAGACTCTCAGGGAAAGCGGAAAGTGGAAGAGACGTTGGTCCACATGAAGGATTTTTATAAAACCCAGGTGTGATTGTGCACGCCTTTGAGCACTTGGTTCCTGGTTGAGCACTCGGGAGGCAGAGGCAGGCGGACCTCTGTGAATTCGAGGTTAACCTAGTCTACAGAGTGAGTTCCAAAAGAGCCAGGGCGACACAGAGAAACCCTGTCTTGAAAAACAAAACAAACAAAAAATGGGGGCTGGAGAGATGGCACAGCAGTTAAGAGCATTCACTGCTCTTCCAGAGGTCCTGAGTACAATTCCCAGCAACTACATGGTGCCTCACAACCGTCTATAATGAAATTTGATCTCCCCTTGAGGCATGCAGGTGTACAAGCTGACAGAACACTTATACATAAAAAATGCATAAATAAAATTTAAAAAGAAAAAAAGAATTGGGGCTGGCAAGAAGACTCAACAGGTAAAGACACTTGCCTCTAAGCCCAATGGCTTGACTTCCATTCCTAGGACACCTAGGACGCCCATCCTCCAACCTCCACACCACACCCACACTGTGGCATGCGACTGTCCAAACATATCACACATACATATGCAATATATATATATATTTTTTAAATAGAGGAAAGAAAAAAGAATACTGGGGAGGGAGGGTATGTTCTGATCATACCGAAGTCTCATGGTTTAGACCTCTTTAAAACACGTTCATGTCTCATTCCATTTTCTGAATCCCCGCAAGGCTGCTGAGACATATCATTACACTGCAAAACGTAGATCTTATTGTTGCTTTATTTTAGGGAAAAAGCCGTCATACTAGTAGCTGGAGTCTTTCAAGCAAAACTGCTGTGGTTTTCAAAACAATTATGCGAGACAAAATGTAACTGAGAAAGCACAGTGTGCTCCTTAAACTCCAGGGGAAAGGGAGCCATCTGAAAGGGTTTAAAGAAAACAGAGGAACCGGCCTGTCTAGACTCGAACCCCAGCTCCATCCCTTACCATCTGCAGATGACTGAGTTCCCCCTTTATCTGCAGTGGCAATGACAGCTGGAACTTTCCCCTATGAGACCGACATGAGCCCTTCGTGAATTAAAACACATGAAGTACTTGGCACCCAGTAAATCCTATCTGTTTCCATTATTTTAATTATTTCGGAGCCCTGGCCTCAGAGTTCCCACCTGGAGGATACACCCCCTTTACCCTTCAGTTGTAGTCTTATAACTTCAGCCTTTTCCAGGCCCTGGGAAAGAGCAGAGCATCTTAGGGTAGATGGCTAGGAAGGCTGTCTGAGTGCTCCCACACCGTGAATGCTCCCAGACCGTGAGTGCTCCCAGGCGGCTGTGACTCCAACGTTCTGAATAGAGCCCCAGCTTCCAAACACACGATGTGATCATTTATCAACATCCAAACACTGACTTCACCAGACAAAGACTTGGAAAATTGACACATTTGTTTCAATGAAAGCAAATAAATGATAGGCTTGACTTATTAAGATGTGGAAGCATTTTGTTTACATGGCCCAGAATTGCTTTCAACAAAAATCAGGCAGCAGGTTCCGTTTTCAACAGCGAGACCGTTGGAAGGAGACAGACATTTGTGAGACATTTTCGTGGTCAGGGGGGGGGGGGGGGGGGGGGGGGG